AAAAAGATAACATTGAATAATATCTAAATGTTCTCACCATTAAGTTATATGTCTGGCTAATAGGAATGATGTTCATCTTGGAAAGCTCACCACACGCTCAATGAACAAACAAATAGTGTGTGCGCGCATGCCATCGCTCTTCTTTAGCTTCAGATTCGGCTTGTTCACCTTGACAATGAGATTTATTATACAACTAGATGGACTCAGTCTGGACATAAGGTCACCGCGCTAGTCACCATGCCCCAGATATGTCTAGCCCCTGGACAAAAAACATATAATTTCACGTCATTTTCAAATACTTGAAAATTTGTACCTAGTCCCATTTTACTGAATAAATCCCACTTTAACGAAATAGAGCTTAGCTTTAGTTTTACATATCACCCCTAGTTGGATGGCCACTAACCAAATGATGGAGGTGTTTTTCTATAGCTATACCTTGTACCATTATTCCTCATGGCTACATTAGTTGTTATTTGTAGAGTTTGTGTACAATTTAGCACATCACTTTGCCATATATTTTGCTCAATTGAAAGTCCTCTATGGTCAAAGAATCTCAAAATTTCTTGCTCCTGTTTTATCAAAGCCTCTTGATTGGTGGAGGAGATGTTTGTTGCTTGGTCAAGAGTAGATTAAAGGTAGCCTTTGCATCCATGAAATAACAAGTTGACAAGCATTGCTCAACTTGCTCATTTGTGGTGGGGGACTTGGTGTATGTGAAGTTTTGGCCACATCATTACACTTTGGGTAAGTGAGTAGGTGTGCAAACCAAGTTAACTCATCATTACTTTGGTGTGTTCCTTGTGGTGGAGTAAATCAACGAGGCTACTTTCTAGATTAAACTTCCATAAGAGTGCAATTTTCAAAATAAGTTTTATGTGTCTAAGCTCAAGCTTCACTATAGTCCTCTTCCACTACTAATAGTTGATTCTTTAACTAGGTGATCATTTGTTGCTAACTCTTAAGTGGGTTTGTAAAGGAGATAACTTCATCATCATTAAATCCTTTGGTACTTAATTAAGTGGTTGAAGATTGGGTTGGATATGGATATATGGGTCTTTCTTATTAGAGCTTGGCTATTTGAAAGAGCTTTTTTAGTAGGGTTTAGTTCTTCCTTCTAAGATCTAAGGGTAAAGTTTTTAAACAGGTGATAGGTTTGGTTTTTTATTAGCAATTTGGGAGAACTAAAGAAAAGACTTTAAACTCAACAATATTATAGGGAATTAAAAATTCATACATAATATGCATCTTCTTTAAATCTAGTTGTACACCCTCAAGAGAAATCACGAATCCACTTAACTTGCATTTAGAATGCTTAAGCTTAAGAAAGTGCTTCTCAAGTCAATGTAACCCTTGATTATGATCCTCTCAAGTACCATTAGTGTGTATTCATAAATCATATGTGTTGGAATGTGGTTAGAGCCCCTATTAAGGCATAATAATAATCTTATACAATCCAATTGATGTGTAAAAGATAGTTTTAGCAATATTTGTAGTATCCATTGGGATTTGCTAATATCCTTATGCTAAATCCAAGATTGTAAAATATAATTATTTCCCATCTCATCTATCAAATCATCCACCCATTGGAAGGGGTAAGAGTCAATCACAATAACATCATTTAGAGGCTAGGAATTGTTTGGTACCATCAAGTTTTGGTAAATATAACTTTATTACCCAAGGATTGCAAGATTTATATATCAATCATAAGTTAAACATCTTTTACATACATTTGTTTAATTGCTTCTTTTCATGAGGGGAATGTTAACAAAGGCCTATATTGATTAGCTATGCATCTTAAGTGGGAATACATGATATATGGTTTAGTTTGATCAAAAAGATCAAACAATTGTGGGAAATAGGCAAGTAGAGAAATAATATCTCTAGCCCATTCTGCCTAAATTGGATTAGGTGGTGGTGTAGGATATAGATTATAACAATCATGGGAAAATAACAAAGAATGGTTAAAGTATCTATTATAGAATTATAATGTACATATATTGCATGTAATCAATTGATGCCAAAAACATATAATAAACATGACTTAGCATCACTTATAATGGCTTTTTGTCACTAGTATAATGTTTTGTTAATCTATTAGTATGGAAGGTCATGAGAGTGATATTTTTCTTTGTAAGTTTAAGCATAAATTAATAAAGAGGTTAATGCAATTTTCTCAAAATCAAATAGGTATGCAACACTTATTGTAATATTGACTCATTGTAGCGCATGTTTTCATAGGATAAAATTTAAATATACTATTACCATAAATCTTTGGAACTTTGAGGGATATATAGAGATAAAATACACACTATAAACTCTATTATCAAGCAATTACCCCTATTTTACTAAAAATTATATTTTTCCTAAAATAGGTTGTCTTTATGTAATGGTAGCTAGAGAACTTGATATTTATCTCTTCAGCCATCCATAATAGAGGATTTACACTTTAATACCCAAGTAAAATAGAAATAAATATATTAATTTAAGCAACTAAAGAAAATGACTTGAGAGACGTTTAATGGATGAAGCTTATGAATAAAAGTGTGCCTTTCCAATCAGTTAAAAGTTTTGGGTTTATAGGAGTGCTAGGTTAGATGATTTCCTAAAAAAGTAGTATTAAGTTGGATGATGTTTTGAAAAGTTTAAATTTAAGAGCTTACATTTAGTATTAGAAAAATTTCATGTTCGACTCTATTGGTTAGCTAAAAAAATCACACCACATATTAACTTGAAATTTAACGGTCTAATATACTCTAGTTAAATTATACTCGAGGGGTAAGGTCATACTATATGTTAAGTTGACAGTTGGCAATTGGGTGTTGGGATACTTAAGATCAAGATTTGAGTAATACTAACCTCTCGAAAAATCCAAATTTAAGAGTTTACAATTGAAAACCAACTTTGTCAATAATAACTATTTACTGCTTAATCTTGAGGGCTCATTTATAAAAAATCCATAGAGAGATTTTGGCAAAACACACATTAGTTAGAAAAATGAAAAAGATCTAACAACTTAAAGAAGATGGTAAGGAAAGGACATTAAAATATTTAAACTGATTTTTATAGTTATATAAAATTAAATTTTACAATTTTAAAATTTTAAAATAATTGATCATGAATTATTTTTAGAATAAACTTGAATATTCAGTGAATTGCCAAACACCAAAAGGACCCTAAATTTACCAAACCTTTATTCTCCCTCTAGATTCACTATACTATATTTTTCTTTCCTCCAAATCCATCACATTAAACATTCTTGCCCCACTACCATGAGAATAAAATTGGTCTCTAATACTAAGGTTAGAATCTAGTGCTAGATAACAAAGATAAAGAGTTTTAGCCTTGTCTAGACTATATTATGCTTTCTTTTAAAAGTTCTTCACCACCCAAACACCCTTTGAGTTACCACAAAAGCTTTATTACACTATTGTTGCCCTTAAAGTATCTTAAGTACTTTCTTGAGTAACCTCTTGACCCATGGTCAAAGTTTGGCCGTAATATATGGATCAGTTCGTCAGCCACTGCGGAGAAATCTTGACGTCCCTCTT